TTCCCGCGGACACAAATTAATTCAACGCCTTGGATTTGTCATTTGATAGAGTGAGCAAGAGAGAGAGGGAGAGTGAGTGAGGGAGAAGGAGAGGGAGAGAGAGGGTAACACGTTTTGATAAAAGCGCTGCCGCCAGCAGCGAGGGATTTCGGTTGGACTCCTCGCTAGAAATCAATGCCCGTATGGGTAATTAATAAACGCCCATAAAGATGCGGATACAATAAAAATTCCAAGCTTGCAAAGAGACAGACATAGAGAGAAAGAGAGAGAGCGAGAGAGAGACTCAGCTTCGGCTTTGTTTCCTCTGAAGAAAAAGGGTTTCTTTCATCGTAGTTCTTTTTATGATCTGCAGCTGGGATGTCGGGATTAACTGGATTGGTGTGAGCGTCTCTCACTCTCCCCAACTCCAACCCCAACCCCAGTCCGAAATTCATGGCTGACCATTTGGTGTCCGAGGTTAGGGCCCTTTTGTCGATTGGATTTGAAACTCGAACCCGTTCGGATGTTAGGTAATCGACGCGATAAGAGAATTAAGAAATCAAATCCATGACTCTGCCGATAGTTGAGTGAACTTCTAGGCATCTTTAATTGCACTCTCATCATTTATTTATTGCTTTGGGCGGGCGAGAATTTGAATATGATGTAGTAGATAATTATGGGCCACAGGATGAACTTGCTGTCGAGGGCGTAATCTTGATGATGGTCATTAAAGGCAGCTGCTACAGCGCTGCCTAAATGCAACCACTTTCCACTCTTCAAGTTGTTTTCGGCGATCTATGGACTTAATTAGCTTTTGTTCAGCTCACTTGAATATTTTGATAGGTATATGGAACGGCATTCTAACTGCTTGTTGATGATACTCAAAAAGCACCCACAATACGATATTTATTTTAATAGCCCCAGATATGCATCTGGCCGGGCTTAATAAACCCATTGGGCAAATCACACGAATTTGTAGCGCTCTAATGATCAACAAACTAAGATCTGATGCTCAGATATCTGATCAATTTGTAAGGTCTTTAATGAAGACATATTTGACAGAACGAAGCGAGATTTGAATGCCGGACTGAACTTTGGCATTCTTCAATCTATATTTATTGTTATTATTTATTTATTCTCAGTTTCCATCACTGCGAATGCCCTTCTCGGAAATGTTTGCCATTGATTGAGGCAAATAAGAAAAATTAAAAATTACAAAAAAAAAATTCAATTAAATGAAACCTGTTGCCCGCTTTGCTTGCTGAAGATTCACAAAAGCTAAAATCCAATTCAATTTGCATTTCCTGTTGAATACCCCCCTCAGCCCCGTAAACAAAATCAAATAAACAAAATATATGTATATATGTATATAAATAAAATTAAAAAGAAGCAGAACAACAGAAATGTTTTGTAATTTCCTTTTCTTCTCTGGGACTCTGAACAAAGGCGCAAACAAATTACACACAAATACTCGCAATTTCGGGGGAGGATGGGGGGCGTGGCAATGCCAAGTGACGTCTGTCCTGTCTCCTGACTCGCTGCGTTAATGCCAGGCGCAATTAATTCGAGCAAATCGTCTGTGAACCCTTTTTATGACCCCCATGCCAAGGCAGCGGAGGAGGCGGAGGTGGAGGGGCAGGCGCTCTTGCTCAAATAAAAATTCATTAAACGGTGAGACCCGCAGCTCTCGCTGTGTTAGCTTTGAACCGAACCGCGCAAATAATAAACGCGAAATAGGCGCACAAAAATCCATATAAAAATTTTCTTTAAATGCCAGCCAAATTGATGTGCGATTTGTGAATGAATACACTGCGCGAAATAGTGGGTGATAGCTGAAAAATTTTCAAATTAAATTAAATAAAACTATGAAAATATTTGTTAAATAAAGTTGGTATCAAATATTAATTTATTGAATTTACTTGAAAATCACTTTACAAAAATATCTTCTTCAGTTTTTTCCCAGAATTTTCCATGTAACTCTTCGATTTCCTGCTGCTATATATATCTCCAAATAAATCACATTGTCTTTAACAAAGATTTGTAAAAAGTTTTCCTTTGTTATTTGGTAAAAGGTTACGCGAGTTTGTCCGAAAAACGTATAAAAGTGGAAAATGTAAATGCTAACTGAATGAATTTTCCGGGGCAGAAATACCTGAGAGCATGGCGCGTTTTAATGAGGACCATAAAATCGAAGCGCCGGCCACTGGCGAGGGCCTGCAGAGGGTAAGCAAAGGGAAGGGCGGGCCAGTAGAAGCGTAACAGGTGCGATAACAACAAAAACACCGTTGAATGTCTGTCTGGCCAGCAGCCAAGACAATGAAATTATAATGAAGATTATGTGTAAAACAAAGTGCGGCCCGCTTAGGTAGTCCAAAGGTAGCCAAAGGACATTCAGGAAAAGCGCGTTTTAAAGCTGGCACAGCGATTCGTTCGTTCGTGTTGTTTGCTTTGATATTTACCGACGCGCCGAATACGCTTTATGGCAGTATCGAGAGAGAGAGAGAGAGAGAGAGAGAGAGAGAGAGAGAGAGAGATGAAAGTAAACCGAGCAGGAGCGGGCTGTGCATAATATTAACTCAGAAAGAGAGAGAGAGAGAGAAAACACAATTCGAAAACAATTTAAGCGGATTTGATGAATTCAAATGGAATGCGAGAAAAGTTGTTGGTTGCTGAAACTAGCGTGAAACATGACATCAATGTAAAAACAACTTGAAATACTATAAGTAAAGAAGGAGTGGCAGAGAGAGAGAGAGAGAGAGAGGGAGCGATTCAGCATCTCTGCCTATTTGGCGTGCTTCCTTTGGAGTACTTGTCACTGCCACGATGACTGACAAGTTTATCCTTTCTGGCAGCTGCATCTTTTCATTATGGCACAGCTACCCAGGGCAGGCCCAGGCCAGGCCGGGCCACTTGCTGGCTATCTGCAGGTCAATGACCCCGGCTAACAGAGCCAGTGCAAGTTTTGTGCCATGTAACGCGCATTGTTGGCCGCCGCTGCTGCTGCTGCTGCTGCTGTTGAATGCTTCATATCCATCATAGTGTTCATAGTCATGCCCATGCTCTATGCAGTTTTGCCTATTCATTTGTCCTGGCGTTTCGTCTGTGCGCTGGCCCCCGCCCCCTGCCCGGCCCCACCTATTTCAGATCTTCAACTTTTGATACCCATCTGAATTTGCATTATTTTCTTTCGCTCTTCATTTCTGCTGCTGTTGCCGCTGTTTACTGTCATTCTGATTTTAATCTTTACTACGCTGCCTGCTCCCTCCTGCCTGCTGCCTGCTGCCTCCTGCTTGCTGCCAGCTACCTGCTGGCCTCTGATTGCTCCCCGCCTTCTCCCTCTGCCCTGCTCCTGCATTGCTTTATTTAGTTTTTTAATTTTTTTCCTCTGCTCAGCTGCCCTGTACATTTGTTGTTGTTGTTGTTGTTGCCGCGTGCCCAGGTGAACAGGTTCCATTTTCTTTAGGTTGCCATTGCACTCGTCTTCTTCTTCTCCTTCCCGCTGCTTGTTGTTGCTGCTGCTGTTGTTGGCCTGGCCAACATCCACTTGACGTTTCATTCGCATTTCATTTGCCGCATTGCCCGATTTAAGTCTGAAAAAGTATCCTAATTGGTATTAAAATCACTGTTATACTTTACTCTCTGTCTCTCTTTCTCTCTCTCTCTCCATCTCATTCGATGCCCTTGTTGCCCTGTCTCGACGTGAATGACTTTCTTGTTGTTCTTCGTGCTGCTTCTGTTATTGTATTTTGATACTTTAAAAGGCAGATCGCAACGCATTTACGCATTTACTGTATTCAAATTGCATTCGCCTCCTAAGCACAGGACGCGGTCTCGGCATGGCTTGCGCATTTTCTGATTTAATCACTTACAGCTCTGATAAGAATCAAAGCGAAATCGCTTCTGTTTGGCTGGACAGCGATTAAAGTGCCCGATTACGATTCCAGGTATTTGGGTAAATGAGATGGTATTATAGAACCATCTCTGGATTATGTGTAAGTAGACCTATTTGACTCATGTTTACTCTATAGAAACGCACTTATTTGTATAGAATATGTATGTAATTATCGAGAATCATGTAACACTTAACCGTTATGCCTTTTATATTGTGCAGGTCAGTTCAAATGTTAGTTCACTTCGCTAGTTTAGTCTAACATAAGTCCGAAATGTGAGCTAAGTATTTCTCCCACACATGAACAGCATGCGAAGCTCTTTGGCAGCATGTGGATTGCGTTACTCCTAATTTTCAAAATAATATAAATTCAAAAGGTTATTTAATTAAGAGAATTTCACTAAAGTCTTCAATTTCTAAAGCTTAAACGCAGCAATTAATAAAAAAAAATTAAATAAAAATAAAAATAAACAAACATGCTTTATTTGAGAAATAATTCATCAACAATTTTCAAACTTACTTCTAACACTCCGAAAAAACCCGGTCTTTACTGTTAACAATCAATTACGATCCACAAGAAGTGATTTAAAGAGAAAATAACATAAAGTGAGTGCGCTCTGTTTACCCAGTGGATCGCAAGCTGAAAAGTATGTCATTCTGTAAACGGCCAAGACATATTGCCAAGACCCACAGAGTACTTCCATGTAAATAAGTTGACTGCATATTAATCAAACTTTATGCAAATACAGTAGCCATTACGATTAATGACAACTAATTAGACAAAATATTAACAATATGACTTTGATTTATGATAATTGCTTTGATGATGGCTGACTAAATAACGGACTTACTAATGGCACACATTAATTTCCGATGTCTTAGATATTGTAAATAGGTAATTCGTATTGTTTCGACTCTGCCGCCAGCAGTTAACAGCAGTTAACGCTTATAGCTAACCGATTTAACATTTAAATTACGCTCAACAGCGCATGCGAGCAAGCCACAATCCACAATGCATGCTGAGAGTAACACGTGGAGCGTGGAACGCTGTTATCCAACAGACTTGCAAAAGAGAAATGCGTACCACATAGACACTGTTAGCTAACATGCGTGTGCATTGGCCAACCGAACGTTCACTCAGTGTTGCCGAGAGTTTCAAGCGTGGTAGTTGCTGTCGCGGTTGGTGCTACGTTCAATAAACGAATCGCATTCGTTCGTGCGTACGTCTGTCGCAGTCGTGGTCGTCGTCGTCGCCATATCGTGTTATCATATCGTATATATACATATACATATATACGTATAGTCGCCTATACAGATAACGATTAACAGCCAAGATCCTTAGCAGCAACCAGTTGAACAGAGTGCGCTTCAGTTCATCGCGATCCGTTTTCGCTTTGTGTCTCTCCTGTTCCTGTTTACCGTTACGCATAAGGAGCAAACAACGTTCGCTCGGCCCTAAAACAACAATTGAGAAGTAAAGCAAATTTGAAATCCTGAATCTTTATGACAACAAAGCGAGCAAATTAAGAGAGAGAGAGAGAGAGAGCGTGCGGCCTTTTTATGTGTTGCCATTAAATTGAATGCAGCTAATGGACGCTGCAGCTGTGCTGCTCCAAAAAGAAAACGAATATTGCGTGGGAGTGTTAGTGTGCGGCTGTGTGTGTGCGTGCGTGCAAAAGTGTGAATTATTAAATTAGCGCGATTGCCAGAGCAGGACACAGCACAGAGCGCGGAAAAGAGGAGAACTCCAAAGGAAAGCAAAAACGAAACGAAACCGAATTCGAGTACGAAAACGCATACGAAAACGAAAATCGGGATACAGCGGATTACAACAAGGATTAAATAACAAAGTAATTTGCATATGATGAAAATAAATTAACATTATGAATGTCCTTCTCCCAGCTTGCATAACACAAAGTTAACATTAATGTAGACCCGCCCCAGCTCTACACCGCATAACGGATGTCCGTTCATGTCCATGTTTCAAGTCAATGAAAATTTTTAATTGTGCACGCGTGTCGCAACTGACCCCCAAGCCAGCCCTTGGGGTGTGTCTGCAGGTGGAGGGGCGGGTTGAAAAGGGGGCAGCGCTTTTTCTTTCTTTTTTGTTGTACTTTTTTTTTGTATGCCGTGCTGGTTACGCCCCCGTCCTAGCTGCATGTTAGCCGCATATATATCATGCGTATGGCATATATACTACTTGTATAAGTATTACCTAAGTGAACCTGCAGCCGTTCCAGGCTGTCCCCAGAGGAACCCCCAACCCAACCAATTCCGCACCCCCTCAGGTGCTCCCACAGAGCCCTTAACTGCAGGTGCAACATGATTAGAAAAGTACTTTGAGAGCTTACGCATTGAAATTAGAGTTCAGATCTTTAGATACTTTTTAACGGGTCAAAGAGCTATACTTCAGAGAGAAACTATTCGTGGAATTATAGTAATTTGATAAGACATTTGTTGTGCTATTCTTAAAGTTTTTATTATTTTAGTATAATTTATTTTATTTTAATTTTTATTTACTCTTGACAACAGAAATGATGAAGCATGATAGACTTTTTATATGCAAGAGGACATAACTCACCCCGAGTTGTATTAAAATTTGTTTTTGATTATGATTACGATTAGCTGGAATCCCAAATTTGAAGCTTTCAAGTTCATGAGTTCTCAATCCATATAAAGCAGAAGCAAAAAGGAATTTAGAATATTTTTGTATTAAAAGTAATTTAACAAAAATTGACAAAAATCTATTAATGTATTTTATATACAAAACACTCTTATAAATGCATTAATATGTTAGGAGATTTGAGAGTGAATATGAACAAGGATAAATTAAAGGGCAGTATTACATCGAGTAAATATTTTTTCAACTGCTGAGTTAATGAAATTAAAAATTTTGGATGTCGTAGCAGTGAAATCTCTTGCCTTGAGAACTTACATAACTCGGGAGAATATTTCAATTTGTATTGAAGTCGAAATTTCAGGTAGCACACGTCAAAGTTTTCAGCTATGAAAATAATATTGTATTATTAATACTTAATCAGAAATAGTTTAAAATCAAATTGAAATTAAATACTTTTAAATTTATTTATTATACACCGCCGTCTTTCGCTGCAATCTGTGGATAAATCTCTTGCCGCACAACTTTATTTCTCGCTTGAGCTGTTGCTTAACGCACATCTTAATTTCAATTGGAGTCTCCTTGGTATTTGTCGCTTCGCATTGCCAGAACTTAATTTCAGAGTCCTCACACCAAAGATATGTTTGGAGTGTTGGCCATGCTGCGCTGCTTTTGGCCAGCGATTGTCGAACCACTTGACCACTTCAAGTTGGCTCCGTGCCATGCGCCTTTGCCCTTGCTCCCCTTTAATGTTGCGGTCAGTTGGCCGCACGTGAAAAGGACATCACACACACACACACGCACACACGCAAAAAGTTACCGAACACAAAAACCAGAAAGAAACAAAAACAGCAACAACAAAAATAATGCACGGGCACGGGCTTGGATTTGGGCTTGTGCTTGGGCAAGGTGTAGTGGTGCGGTGGTGCTGTGGAGCCAGCTCCACCAGTTCGTCCGCCGTTGACCTCGTGTCGCCTGCAGCGTTAATTTATAATTTACTGTGCTCACTGAAACCGTCAAAAAGCAACACCCACCGCCGTCCGGCCACCTGCCCGCCTGTCCGCCTGTCCACTCGGTGCCACTCGGTGGTGCTGCCCACTTTTATTATTATTATTTCTGTGCGTTTTCTACGCGCTTTTCCGAGGTGCGCTTTTCCATGCGATTCGCCGAGTTTTGACTTTTTTACATTTGCCGTCGGCGCGACGGACGCTTTGTCGTTGTCCTTGTTGTGGCTCGCCATTGTTGTTGTTGTTGTTGTCCGTGCTGTTGTTGTTATTGTTGCGGTGTTCCTTCATTTACTGGTCCTTTGGGGTAGCGGGGAGCGGTTGCTGCTGGCCGGCCTCCTGCTCCCGTCTCCTGCTGGCTCCCATATCGTGCCGCAGCCAGACGCTTGTGGAAATTGCCTTTTCAACTACTCGCTGACATTTGCTCATTGTTGTTGTTGTTGTTGTTTTAGTGCCTTAATTTTGTTTTCGTTTTAATATATGTGTGTGTGTGTGTGTTTGTGTTTGTTTGGTGTTGCTTTTGGTTTTGCTTTGCGGTTCTTTCGACTTTTTTAGCGGTTCAGTTTTTTGCCTCCCATTTTTATATTTTTTTTATTTTTTTTATTTTGGCATTTTGTAACTTTTTTTTATTTGCTTGACCTGTGGAACTGTTGCTTTACTGTCGCCGCTTTGTTTGTTGTTTTAATTAATTTGTAAATTTACTTGGCGAGATTAAAATAAAAATGTTTTAAAAGAAGGAAGCAAATTAGCTCTTGTCCAAATGGCACATCATATGCCTGAATTCTGTTGGCCAAACTTTTTAAATGCTTTTCGTTTGGAAAACTTTCGTTTTCCCACAGAAGTGGTACCAAATATTTATTAGCCAAAGTCTAACAAGAATTGAGTCATTTTCTTAAAAGCAACTGTGAAAGTTTCTAGTGAAAAAAAATTGATTGGAGAATGTAATCTAAGTCACATATAAAATATAAAAGCACGAATGAAATTATTGATTGGAATTTTAGGCGCAAGTATTTAAGAGCTTTTTATAAGGTTAACATAAATATGAAAATTAATTTAAGTACAGAGCCTCAATTTAGACAGCTTATTAAATAGGAGAAATAATGAGTAAAAGCATTGCAGTCAGACTGAATCGTCGTCCACGATACGAAATCAGGTCGATTTATTCCCAAGTCGTCTCAATGAGCTATTTATTTACTAAGTTTACCAATAAATAAGAACAATAGACTTTCTTAGAGTCTTAATGAAAGTAAAGAAACGAGCCAAAGAGTAATTTTTTTCCTTCTTTATATTGAACATTTGGATGTAATTATTGAATTTTAGTTTTTGTCAGCAGAAGTTTTCAATAACATTAAAACATCATTCGTTTTCTATTTATCTTTTCATTTATGTATTATTGCATTAGTACATAATTAACAACTTAGCAATCTCAGATATAAAACTTCATAAGATATAGTTATTCCTTTCTTACTTTAACATGATCGTAATAGATGCAGCTAAACGAAAAAGTTGTTACTAAATAATAAGTAAATATGTTCGAAATTGCAAGTCTCTTAATAAAATGTTGTTATATTATATTGAACAAGATATAATCCTTCCTGATTTTTCACAAAAAATCTTTACATTTTTTTATTCCTGGGTACATAGAACAAAATGTTTCGCACTTAGCCTCTCTACCTTAAAGATAGACAGGCAAAGCATCGCATAGCAAGAGAGATATTCCGTGCAACATATACACTCCGCTCATTTCCTAAAAGGGTATAAATATATATAAAAAATAATAAGGTTTAACCTTTCATTTAAGTACAACAACAAGTAGAACAAAAATGCAATATATATATATTTTTTTTAAATGAAAAGCCACATTTTTATATGCGCATATAAATATAATAAATACTTAGCAGAAATAAAAAAGCATTTAAAAAGGATTTTATTTGGCTTTTTATTCTCTAAAATGAAACCACAGAATGTAATATACTTAACAAGTAAGGATTACATTGCTTTTGATCCTCGAAACAAAAAAACAAAAAAGAAGCTTAATAAATTTTCAGAAATCCATAATTTATATTTTTTTCATTTTTGGCCGAGTCTTTAAAGTCAGCGCAACCGCAAAATTGTGCTAATAAATTCAATTTTCCCATTCAGGCAGAAACATCAACAACAACAGCAGCAGGAGCAGCAAACACTTATACAAACACACGCACACACTTAAATAAAGCACATAAGCAAATTGAGGAAAAGCCGGTGAAAAACATTTGCCTAAAGGCCATTAATCGCTCATTTTTCGCATAAACAAAAAGAGAAAAACTTTGACGATGTTTGCCCAGTCAAAACAAAAGAATACAACAACAACAACAACAACAACAACAACGACGGCAATAATAACAACAATGGTAACAACAGCTTGTTCTTGTTGTTGCTGTAATGTGTTTAACTTTTGTTTCACTTTCGAGCACCGCAAAAAAGCCAAATAAAGTTTGTCATTGTCTTGCGACAAATTTGAATGGGAAATGTCGATGAAGTCGTTGTTTTACGGCATCTAATGAAAGCCAGAAAGCACAAGAAAAACGTTGACAGTCTGTGCTCGCAATTTAAAATTAAATAAACAGCAACAGCAACAAAAGCAACAACAGCAGCAACAACAACAACAGCGAAAACTCCCAAATGTGCAATTAAAAAATTTTACAGTCATAACTTTTTATTATGGTACATAATTCAGTTGGGTGTTTTTATGCACAGTGCTGCGCGTGCGTTTCTCATTTCATTCCATACCACACCATTCCATTCCGTTACATTTCATATTCTCTTTCGTCCTTTTTTCAATAAATTGGCCTTAGCTGTCCGTGTCATATCTCCCTCTCGCCTGCTCTCTCTCTCTGCCTAAAAATTAATTTCATTTTCACAACTTAAATTTCATTAAATTTACCCAGCTTTACGTTTATTTTATACAATTTTCATTTTTATTTTTCGTTTATTATTATTATTTTTTTTTTTTTTTTTTGCAATTATAATATCATAAATTATGTTTTAATCAGTTTGTGAGCTAGTTTTATTGCCTTTTCCATCTATAAATTCAATTTAATGCATTTCAGTTATGGTTTACGAGTGCCCCGTTTTCTGTGGCTTAAATTTCGTTTGATTTGGCCTCGTCTACTATATTTAACTTGGCGTGTCTGTTGACTCACAGTGCGGCCAGCAAAAAAGGGTTAAAAGGCCACGCCTTTGATCGGCT